CCCACTCCCCCCTCAAAAAAAAAGAAAAGAAAAGCTACCTCATTAAAAAAATGTGCTTAATAGTTCATTCATAAATAACTGCTGAATAAATAAGCTGAGCCACATCTCTTGAATATATTTTGCTTACTTTCAGCTCAGCATGCCAAAAAACAAAATTACAATTATCTCTGGAATTGATCTAGTCACCTTTTGATTAATGTAACTTGACCTAGTTTACTTTAATTACTTTAATTACTTTTAGTATAAAGTGTCATTCTTGACAGCTTTTAATGATGTACTTAATATCTGCTAGTAATTAAGATATTCAAAATACATTACATATTCTTTCCATTCACTTTTCAAATTTGATCTTTCCATTCTGCCATTGTCTGTATACTTCGAGAGAGCAGATTCGTTAAAAGACTGACGGCTGTCACTGACTGTCAAATCAAAGCTCTTGAAACTAAACACAATTAAGCCTAAATATCAGTAATTGTCTAGAATGGGACGGTGAAAATAAATAAATAAATAGATAAAAAATAAAAAATTAAATAGAATCACCAATAGGAGCTGCCAATTTTCTTATCAATAATAACGGCACAAAATATATAAAAAAGGACAGCATTGCACCAGCAAAGGCCAACGAAACTCCGCCTAAAACATAAACTGACGAGATAAAACCTGCGTACAACAGAGGGATTTCCTACCAGCTAAGAAACTGGTCTTAGCCGGGCTGTTATTTCACGTGATTAATTAAATTATAATTATATGAGTATAAACCAATAATGCACCACACTTCAAACCTAACTATTTATGACAAAGTGCATAAAACCCTTCGTCATGGGATGCACATGTGAAGAACTTTACACGTAGAAAATATCTGTAACCTTGTTAAACGACGCACAAACCTATCTTAAAAAACACTAATCTTTTCGCTTGTGATCGGCATTTGCAAGCGACGCATAATTCCACACAGACCTCTCAAATAGACAGAAATTTGGAATAAAACCAAGAAACCTACACAGCCTATATTAAATAATCAAAAACCACTATATATTAAAAAAAAAATCTATATCATGCATTCGCCGTATTCTCCAAGCCATAACACACATATATAAGCACTGTAAATATAAAAAAAAACTATAATCCGTTGTGACTGAAAAAAAAAAAAAAAATGTAGTAATAAAAATAATAATGAAATTGTTCTCAAATACATCAGCGTATAATGCGTTATTTAATTAAGCCGCACCTCATACGTTCACTTCCTTCTCCAAGCCACACTATATAATCTCACTGTATTTTTCAAAACCAAATTACACAAATTACACTGCATTTTGTCAACTGCACAAGGTCACTGCAATTTCACTGTAAATTTTCAAAACTTTGGCGTCCAATCTCACTGCATTTTCCAAACCAAGTTAAGCCATCTCACCCTATTTCCAAGCCTAAACCACACAATCTCACTTATTTCACTGTACTCACAACCTCACTGTATTTCTCTCCCAAAGCATACAATCTCACTGTATTTCCCTTTTAAATCACACAATCTCACTGTATTTCACTGAATTCGCAACCTCACTGTATTTCCCTCCCAAAGCACACAATCTCACTGTATTTCACTGCACTCACAATCTCCCTGCCTTCCTCCACAGCACACAAGCTCACTGCGATCTCACTGTACTCTCAGACCCAACTTGCCTCACTGCAACCCCCAAGCCCCTCTCTAAGGCACTGACCTCCTTTAGCTGACACACCCACAGGGGAGTCCACACACACACACACATGCACACACATACATACACACACACACACACACTTACATACACATACACACACACTTACACACACACACATAGGCAGGCTGATACACAGACAGACAGACAGACAGACAGACAGATAGATAGACAGACAGATAGATAGATACACAGATAGATAGATACACAGAGAGACAGAGAAACAGATAGATAGATAGACAGAGAGGCAAATAAACAGAGAAGCAGATACAGAAACACAGGTATGCATACAGACACACACACAGGTAGGGCAAGTGGAAAGACACACAGACAGACAGACATACAGAGAGAGAGAGAGAGAGAGAGAGAGAGAGAGAGAGAGAGAGAGAGAGAGAGAGAGAGAGAGAGAGAGAGAGAGAGAGAGAGGCAGACAGACAGACAGACAGACAGACAGACAGACAGACAGACAGACAGACAAACAGACCAATTTCTCCTCGCAAAGGATGCGTCAAAATGGAACCTATTTTGCCCTATTTCGACCCTTTTTTTCGGAAAATCATCTTCTCGTGCTCATGAAAAGCTCAAGGAAATAGGATAAGAAAGATAAATAACGGATAGGGAGATGGATAAAAAAGAAGAGAGATAAAATAAATGGATAAACAGATAAACAAGGGAAGTAAGCAAATCAACATAATAAAAGAGATGCGCAGGAAAACGGACGCTAAATAAGGAAATAAAAGAGAATGACACAGTGCCTTAAAATTTCTAAAAAAAATGTGCAAGGCAAAAACTATGCGGAAAAAACTATTTTTCATTGTGATGCAAAAAAAAAACAAATAATAATAATGATAATGATAATAATGAAATCGTTCTTAAATATACATAATAAGAAAGACAATATATATATATATATATATATATATATATATATATATATATATATATATATATATATATATATATATATATATCAATATCCTAGTCTAACATATGAATATTGGTCCAACATATAAAAGAAAAGGAGAAGGAAGAGAAAAGAAGAGAGAGAGAAGGAAATGAAAATAAAATAAAAAGAAATCCTCTCCCTTGGACTAAAAGGAAATAAATTCTTTAAAAATCCCAAATTCCTTCACACTAAAATAAAAAAAAAAAAGAAGAAATATATATAAATACAAAAAAAGAAAAGTAGACAAGAAAAAAAAAATAAAGAAAATTACCAAAAATGACGAAGAAAATCCTCCCCCAAGAAATAAAAACAAAACCCAAAAATCCCTCCTCACAAAACAACAAACCCAAACAAATAAACAAGAAAACCAACCAACCAAACAAACAAACAAAAAAAAATCCTCACAAAACCACAACCCCCAAAAAACAAATAAACCAAAATTTAAAGAACCTCTACCACCCCCTCAAACAAAAACAAAAACAAAAACAAACAACCTCCAACCAAAATAAACAACAACCCCCAACCCCCCCCAAAAAAAATAACCCCACAAAACACCCACACCAGAAAAAAAAACTAAATAAACCACAACATATAAAAAAAAAAACTTTAAACAACAAGAAAACCCCTTTAGCATCTGACCTTCTTCCCGGCGGCGTCTTCTCCTTTAAGACATCAGTCAAGGCCTACTTAATCCTCCTCGTCGGCCTGCGGGGAAAGCGGCGGACCGGAGCCAAGGGGGACATGCATGGGCCTCTCCGCGGGGAAGGAAGGCCGGTCACGTCATCTGAGAGAGAGGGGGGGCGGGGGGGGAAAAAAGGGGGCAAAAATAAGGGGAAAAAAGTCGGTGGTGTGTGTGTGTGTGTGCGTGCGGGGTCTCGCCTCGGTTTCCCTTCGTCTCTCGAGAGGGGAGGGGGAGAGAGATCGCGGGAGGGAGGGAGGGATGAATAAAGGGGAAGGGGATAATGGGGGTAAGTGGGGAAAGGGGGAAAGGGGGAGAGGATAAGAAAGGGTAGATAGGTAGATAAATAGATAATCAAGGGGGTGGGGGTAAGGAACGATAGATGTGTGAATTAATAATGAAGGTGGGGGGTAAGGAATAATAAGTAAATGAGGAAGAGATAATGGGTGATAAAGGGGGATAATGAATGATAAACAGA